TGCGGCCGCGCTAGCCCGCGCATGCTCGCGCGCGAAGCGGCCAGCTAGTCTGGCGCGACCGACGCGGCCGCGGTGGCGCTGACCGCTGGGCAAGTCCCAGCGGGCATTTGAATGCGAATCGGCGACTCGGGCTGGCACACGAGCGATGCTGACGACGATGGTGACAACGATGACGGCAAAGCCAATGACGGCACCGATGCTGATCACGCCGACGACGATGTCGGCCTCCTCGCGTCGATGATGAAGGTTTTCGGAAGAGTTCGACATGCGCGCGCGGCCGACGCGAGAACATGGCCCGCATGTTTTTTTGACACGGATCGCGCCCCCCCCCCCAGCACGCGCGCAAGCGCGCCCGAATGAGTCCGACATGCGGCGAGAGAGGCCCGTTTGGCCAAACTGAGTGGAAATGGTGGGAACCCATGTTCTTATTTTAAAAGTTCGCAAGAGCGCAACGCCATGTGTGTTTCATATGCTTGTCGGGGCACTCGATTTTGGCAACCCCAAGACACCTACGGTTCGAACGGATTTCGTCATTCGCGCGCGACGACGCGCGCGCTTGCACTTCGTCTCATCGTTGGCAAGGGACTCTTGGAGGCTGTTGAGTTGCCCACACATCCAAATGGGGTTCTTGTTTTCGCTGCACATCCCAGCGCAGGGTCTCCTTCTCACCCTTCCTCCCTATCACAGTCGTACCCGCTCACTCACTCGCTCCCCCACTCACTCACCCACTTCCACCACCATCATTATCATCACCATCATCATCATCAACGCCATCATCACCATGCACACAATCACATACTCACCATAATCGTGATCATGAGCATAATCATCATCCTGATCCTCATCCTCATCATCGCCATCACCATCATGCACTCATTCACGCATCGCTCCTCACTTTTGGGCTCCTGGGGCGTGAACTTGGAGGTATCAAGCGGGCGCCGCGTTCTAAATGAGGAAGTCTCAAGGGGGAGCCTCGTCTGTGAGTGAATTGTGAGAAGGTGCCAGGCGGAAGCCTCCTCCCTGTGGGGCCCGCAGCTCATGTTTTTAATCCGAACGGCTCATCCTCAAACCTGTAGCTGTGAGCACTGTGAGGCTCCTCAGGCCTGAATGTAAGGAGCATCGGGCATGAGCCTCGTCTATGAGTGGTTCGCCAGGATGTCTCAGGCGGGAGCCTCGTTTGGCAGTGAATTGCGAGGAAGTCTCAGGCGGGAGCCTCCTCCCTGCTAGCGTTTTTGTTTATTCGAGCGGGCCATCCTCAAACTTGCAATTGTCGCCACTTTTAAGCTCCTCAGGCCTGGATATGGAAGGAATCTCAGGCAGTAGCCTCGTCTGTGAATGAATTGTGAGGAAGTGCCCGGCGGAAGCCTCGGCTGGCAGTGAATTGCAAAGACATCTATATTTTTGATCCGCGCGGGTCGTCCTCAAATGTAGTTTCTGTCGGCACTATTGGGCTTCACAGGCCTGAATACGGAGGGAGTATCAAGCGGGAGCCTCGTCTGTGAGTAAATTGCGAGGAAGTCTCATGCGGGAGCCGCGTCTGGGAGTGAGTTTCGAGGAAGTCCCAGGCGGGAGCTTCCTCTCTGTGGGGCGCAGGTCGCACAAATTCCAAGGGCCCAACGCAGGCCCCGCAGGTCCTCGGGTCTTTTCGCCTCACGCGCAAGTCCTACAGGTCGCGCAGGCCCCACAAGTCCCACAAATACTGGTCCCACAGGTCCCACAAGTCCCACTGGGCCCGGACGTCCCAAAGGTCCCACAAGCCCCACAAGTCCCACGGGCCCCGCAGGTTGCTGGTCCCACGGGCTCCGTAGGTCTCACAAGTCCAGCAGGCTCCACAAGTTCCGGGGTGCCACTGGTCCCACATGTCCCCATGTCCCACGGGCCCCGTAGTTCCCACAGGCCCCACGCGGCCCACAAGTCCCACAAGTCTCACAGGCCCCACAGGGCTCGCAACTCCTACAGGTCCCACGGGCCCCACAGGCCCCACAGGTCTAACAAGCCCCACAGGTCGAACAGCTCCCACGAGTCCCACAGGTCCCAGAGGTCGTATTCTAGTATCTTGGCATTCTGCCATCACCACCATCGCTGATTAACGATGATGAAGATATTCATGCATACGAAAGAGATTATCATGCGGGGACCTTCCGTCGGAATAATTGATACCCGAATGTGCGCGCGTGACATTTTCTGTAGAATATAAGGGGGGGCGAGACCCACCTGCCTGGGATGATATGAATTCAGATTTCGGATGGACTATGGGGCAGGATCGTATGCAGATTGCAATGCGCGACGGGGGGCGCTAAGTTCGGGGGGTGAGGCCTTCTTGGGCCGTTCTTGGGGCCAGAGAGAAATCCCGAATATGGCTACGAGAGGGCCTTCACGAGGGCCCCCACCGATATCATACCATGGGCTCTTGGTCTGATGATGTTGTGGGCCCTTTTGGGCCCCTCGTGGGAAATCTTGTGGGCACCTGTCGGAGCTTCTTTGGGGCTGTCTGGGACGCTCTCAGGGGACAGCGGAAAGCCACCAGAAAGCTCTTGGCATGATAACCTTGGGGACCCTGGTGGGACCCTCCTCGTGGCCGTTTACACACTTGTTGAAATCTCTTGGGGTTGCCTGGGCCGCACCGTCGTTGGCGCAAGAGGAGGGCCCCGAGAAGGCCCGAGAGTGCCTAGCAAGGCCGCCAATTGGCCCCGCAACGGTATCACACCAACGCATCCGAATTCGCTATCGTCGGGGGGCCTTTTTGAGGCCCCTCACGGTGACCCACTTGGGCCGCGCTTGCAGCTCTCTCGGGACTTTCCCAGGGCCCTCCAGCGCCATCTGTGCGGCCGGAGAAAAGCTCCAAGAAGGCCCAAAAGGGCCTCGAGAGGGCCCCCGAGGCGGCCCCAAACGAGATTATACCACGGGCCCTTGGCATGATATCGTTGGGGGCCCTAGTGGGCCCCCCTTGGGAACTCTTCTGAGCCCCTCTTGGAGCTGCCTTGGGGCTGCCTGGAGCCATCCGGCGCCGTCTTTGGGTTCGGGCGTTCCCTGGGCGCACATGAAGGAAGTTAGCTTGCCGGCCACGTATTCCCCTGGCGGCGAATTCATGTACACAGCCCTAGGGCAACCGGGGTATGTACATGAACTTCTTCGGGCCTGTGATGGGGCGGAATGGTGCAAATCATCTACATAGATGGGATTCGTACCACACCCTTACAGGAATCCACCCCGGACCCCAGACTTGCCGAGATATGCACATCAAAGAAAGCCCGAAACCGAGATCCCCGCCGCACCCGCCAGCACACGAAGCGTCAACGGAGCGCCCACCAGCGCCGGCCAGGCGAAAGCCCGGCGTACCCACCCAGCACACGGGGTGCCCACAAGGCGCCCTCAGGCGCCCAACAGGCGAAATCCCGCTGAACCCATTCCTCCTCCTGCTCCCTCCCTCCCTCCCCCATTTACCCCTCCTCTGGGCATGCACTGGCAAATCTCCCTGCCCCTTCCAGCGCCTCTTATGCCTCCTGTATCCGAACTCTGACCCCATCCACCCCCCGAACCTCTTCAATTGCACCCGCCCTCGCCCATCCTGCGCATATCCGCCTCCCCCTCCTCCCTCGTCGTCTTTATCCTCCTCCTCCTCCTCCCGGTCTTCCTCGCCGGCCTGATTTTCTTTCGGTACTCTCATCGGCCCTCCTCCTCGTGAGCCTAAACCCAAGTTTGACTGGTGATTTATCAACGCCAACATTCCCTCCCATGTGCCGCCACCCACCCCGCGTCGTCCGAACGTTCGGCCCAGGAGAAGGGAGCACAAAACTGAAGCCGAACGTAAAGCAATAGCGCTGAAGAGGGAAGATAAGAATTGGCATAGCTCAGGTGCAAAAGCGAGAAACAGAAATATAGTGGCATCGAGCTGCTGGACTCTCGGACTCGTACCTTGTGCAAGCGCGAGCACATGAACACACATAATGAAGATATTCCGAATCTATGCAATAACGAATGCAAAAACAAAGGCAGCGACCATGAGAAACCACGCGGAAATCGAGAAAGAAGGACGTCATGAAGACAAGCCACGCAACTTCGCGGATCTCGAACGCCGGCGGGGTGTCTTGAGGGACACGCAACCGAACGCAAATGTAGCATTCGAGATCTTTCAGCCCAAACCGTATCAAAGCGAGAGCTTCGACGCCAGTACACGATGCTTTCCCCATGACGCGCACGCTCGCAGGGTACAATTTTTCGAAACACCAGAGCATTCATGTACGTTGGCGTCCTGCCCCCGCTCTTGAGCATGGGGGTAATGGAGACCTCCCGTCGGCCGCCGAACCTACACCAGACCCGGGCGAGCTAGCAACGCGAACCCGCACATGGGCTGCCTCCTCCTCCTCTTCCTCCTCCTCCTCGTCTTCCTCTTCCTCCTCCTCCTCTTCCACCTCATCCTCCTCAGCCTCCTCCTCTTTCTTTCTCCTGCCTATTGTTTCCTCCTGCCGCGTGGGCCGATTGAGGCCTCCCATGGACCGCCGAGCTCGGACCACTCCCGTGTACGGTCGGGGCGTTGGCCTGAGGAACCCTACATAAGGAGCGAGGCCCCTTTTTTGTCCATAGGTTACACTCCGATTTCCGATCGAAGACATGAGGGAAACCTGAGGCAAGCCGTGAAACACTTGAGGAACGCGGAGCCCCTCCCCAGCCAAAAGGACTCCTTCTTCAGGGCCCCGGCTGTACGCCGACAGTGCAGGGCCTCACCATGGGCTGCTGAAGCGGAATAGGGATCAGGTCGGGACTGTCCTCTGACAGGCGGATTTTGGAGGAGAATTTCAAAACAACGTAAACAGATGCTCAAACGTTGCCGAAAAATATAACAAAATCGTCCCCATGACTATTTTTTGACAATTTCTGGATCTTCCTCCTGTAGAGGGACGTGCCCGATTTAAGACAGGCCCCTACCCTGCGTGACCCAGCCGAGCTGAGACCACTCCTGCGGCACGCTCGGCTCGGCCGCGCGGCGGCTTCCGAGGCTCCGGCGACCGCCTAGGCGACTTCCTCGGCGACGACCTCGGCGACGCGCTCGACGCGGAGGTCACACCCTGCGTCGGGGACGAGGGAGAGGGCGGGGATGAAGATGAGGATGATGAGGGAAATGACGAGGAAGATGAGGAGAAAGAACAATTAGAAGTGGGAAGGTGAACTGATGATGACGAGGAGGACGAGGAGGAGGAGGAGAAGAGGGAGAAGGAGGAGCAGGAGGAGAGTGCGGAGGAGAAAAACGAGGAGGAGGAGAAGGAGAGGAAGAAGAGAGGACGAGGAGAGGAGGATGATAACAAGCTACGACGAGGGGGCGGATGAGGGACCGGCGCGATGATACGGAGGGGGCGGATGAGCAAGGCCGAGGGCGAGGACGAGGGTGCGGAGGGCGGAGAAGGGTCACGTAGGGCGTGCCGCCGTCAGGAAGCGCGAGGGGGTGGCAATCGTGATGGGTGCGGGCAAGGGAGGGCTCCTCCTCCCGTCTCCTCCTCCCCCTCTTCCTCCTCCTCCTCTTCGTCCTGAACTGAAAACTACCACAGGACGCGCGAAGCGTGCAGGGAAAGCTTGCACCCGATTCAAATTAAAAGCGAACGAATTGGCAGAATATTATCGTCAACAGTCAGAGCCAAACGCTCCCCACGAGTGCCCATCAAAGAAAGGGTCGAGTGGACAATGAAACTTGACAAGCCTGGGATCAAGAGCGCCCTCGGCACCAAAAGCAAACTTTTTTTCTGATCGCTCGGGGAGACAACTATCAGCACGGCGGAACAGGGATGCAGCCGGGAAAGAGCAGAGCGGAGGAGGGTATTGTTTGGCTGCCGCGGCCCTGAATACCCCTGAGGGGTCACGACCAATCAGTGTCGTGCGGGAGCCTCTCGGGTGAGTGCAACGGTCTCTTCCCCGAACACCATCAAGGGCAGAACGAACATGGGGTTTATTGATGAACAGGAAAACATTAGGCTTGACACTGGAGGCATGAAAAGAGAACTGGCCGATCCAAACGAAGTCGACCGTGCTTTTTTCTTGGGGCAAGGTCCTGAGGTGAGGAATCTCTGAAACGTACCAGGAACTGGGCAAAGCAGGATCCGACGGTGGAGCAGGGTGCAAAGCAGGATCCGCCGGTGGAGCAGGGTGCTCCAATGTACCCGCAGCGCCATACACAGAACAGGCGTACATTAGGAGCACCGAGGTCCTCAAGAGGCCACTGCCGAGGTCCATTTTGGCCCATTCACGTGTAGTGGCCTGAGGGGGCCCCCGCCCCTGGGCAGCTCAAGCCGGCGCGCAGGGGGGGGGGGGGCAGCAAGCACACCCACAGCGAATCAATCGCCAATCATAACTAAAACGGTCTGAAGGGCTCGGGGCCCACGAAATTTCCAGCCGCACTCTCATTTTGTATATAAACGGACCGCATGGCTAAGGGGTAGGGCGATGGATGCACCAGCCCGTCAAAATAAAACTGTACATCCCCCATCGCCGCTGGCCCCTAAACATGTGTAAAACGTACTTAGTGCCTCCAATAGGCGCTGGGATGTCAACAGCTTCGAAAAGAAAGAGAGTCTCAACGAGGACGGGCGCGGGCGGGGGGGCAGGGGGGGCCAACTCTTCCAGGGTCCTGGAGGACCATTGGGGATAGAAGGGCCATAGAAACTATACTTGGGGATCGTGGCTTTCTCAGCTCTCAGGCACCGCTTCTTCATGCTATTGGTGTTGGCCACGATCTCGGCGGCCCCCTGTAATTTTTGGCCCTCGGTCGCCAGCGGGAAAAAGAAGAAATCCAAGCTTGGAAACAAGCCGGCCTGCCGTGTTTCAAGTGCCTCGCAAGGCGGGTCCTCGAATGGAACTGAATGCAACAGTGTCGACAGCAAGTGCCAACAACATACTTCGTGGCGAGGTCGGTCGGCGGATGCGCCTGCAGGCGGTGCTTCCTCCACGCACCTACGTTGGCTGACACGTGACCACAGTCATAACACACGAAGCAAACATCGGGGGTGGGGCCCACGCAAAAGGGAGGAGGCAATAAATGGTGGTCGGTGCACAAGTTAACATCGCCCTTCTCCACGCGGCAAGCCTGAAATGATCAGCCCCCTAAAGCACGCGGGCATTGAACGCGCTGGAAATGGCGCTGGGGAATTCCGACGGAGCACCACGGGCAAGAGCAGTCCAGCGCGACAAAGGGAGGGGATGCTCTTCACCAGCACCCGTAAAACGAGAGACCCAGGAAAAAAACCGTACGCACCAGATGCGCCCAGGCGTCGCGGCCCTCCAGGAGGTGGTCGACCAAAAACCTGAGCTGAGGGGACCCCCTGGCGGCCAAGCGCCCAAAACACTTGAGTCGCCTGAGGCGGGGCAGAACGGCGAGGTCGGAAAACCTGAGCATTCATGGGTTTGCGCCCAGGTCCCGCGTCGCGGGCTCTCCCGGTAGCAGCGCGGAAACTCCCCGCGTAGGCGGTCGAAAGGAACGTAACATCGGCGGCCGAGAGTCTGCTCCATATCGCTCCGTTGTACAGAAGGGCAGACGCGCAGGGGGCGTCGGTCCGCTAAGCTTTCCGAGCGAGCGCCAGCTTGGGGCGAGGAAACACCGAAGCCCTAAGCGGCCCCAGGGCCGCTTGCTGCTTGGATCCTCGCAGCGCGAGCTCGGGGCGCAGAAGCCCGCCACGATGAACCATAGTCCCCAAGAGCCTGCGGGCGTCGGGGAGGTCGACCGGAACACCGAGGGAGGGAACCGTGTGAGATCCATTCTGAACATCAAAAAACCTGTGTTTGGCCTGAACAGTGGGGGGGGCCTCTAATGAAGAGGGGGATGGCGGAATTACCCTTCCCATAGTTCAGGCTCATGCCATGGCTCAACATGGCGTTGTGGAGGCGAGTCACCAGGCTGGTCAACTGGTCCCCGGGGAGGCGGCTGTCTTTGCACGCGCGCACGCGCGCACGCGGGCCAGGTCGTCCACGAAGGCCGACTCCGCCACGAGAAGCGCGAGAGGGTCGCTGCACAAAGACAGGGTCGGGGAAGGTGGTGGGGGGAGCCTCCAAAGCAAACCATCAAGGTCAAACCGAACCCTGAGGTCCTTCAAAAAAAGACAGAACACAAGGTTTAACATAAATCGGCCATGGCTCCCCCAGGTCTAGACCCAGCGCGGGTCCTGGCCGTGGAACTACCGCCTTTCGCTCCGAGCCCAGTGTCGGCGTGGGCCTCAGAAGCCGAATCCAAAAGGTGCGCATCCTGGAAAGCGTCGGGGGTCAAGGTAGGGTGGGCTATGAAGGATCCCAAATCGGGACCAGACGAAGTGGGAGTTCCGCTTGGTCAGTGATTCCAACTCGATCTTCGACCGACGAGCCCACAGGGAGAGCGATTTCCCTCACGACAGTGTAGAGCGCTTGCTTAAGATCCCCGAACACCAGCATCGACGAGACTCCTCCCTGGCGAGCGAGGTCCATGAAATTGAAAGTAGCATGGAGGGCCATGTCCGCCCCCCTACCATTGCACCCCCCTGTACTGGGTGCCCAGCAGCATGTGTTCAACAACAGAACACATGCGACCCCTGAGAATAACATGATGGTGCTTGGCAAGGTCATCCGTGCAGGGGATATGTCTGCACTGCTCTATGCACTCAGCATCACCCTTGCCTTTCCAGTGCGCATGAGCCCATCCACGCTTGAACTCCAAGGGATATCTGCCGAGGATGCCAATCTTAACATAAAGAGGGTGCGCCCATTCAGCACGCGCCCCTGGGGCAGCTCTCAGAAGGCTGTCAGACGCAAGATCGGGGGCGCAAGTTTTTTCCCAGTGCGCACGCTTGAAACTGCGAATCGTTTGCCCGAGGGTCATCATAATGCCCAAGCACCTGTTAGGAGGGGGGGCAGCAAGAGAAGGCGCAGTGCAGTTGTACTTCTGCATCATACTATCGGCTGAATAGCTCTCGGCACGCTCGGTCTTAGCAAAGAACTGATGGGTCTCATCAGCAACCTCGCGAGGCGTGGCCAAAACCTCGCTGGGATCCTTTCGAATCGGGATACGCTTGGGGGAGCGTTTACCAGGGCGGCCTCCAAAGGCCAGAAGGCGACGGAGAAGGGCCCACTGGCCTCTGGCATCTCCCGAACAAACCGCATCCTGGACTTGCTCAGACATGCTCTCAAGAGAAGCCGCGCCGTCGTCCTCAAGAAGCGAACGCGCCATTCTCCCCGAACTCTTCAGGAAAGCATAAAGCTCCGCAAGCAAGTCGGTCCCATCCACCGCGTCATCCTGAAACCCCGAGGTGGCGAAAACCATGTCTTCGAGGAAACTCCACGCCATGGCGACAGGGCCATCCCAGGGGAAGGGAACGCGCCACAAATTCACAGAGGGCCCTAAGGGGATCGTCGGCACAGGTAGCTCTCCCTCTAGGGGGTCGAATGGCCGCCCTGACGCGGCGTCCGAAGGAAATCGGGTCCAGGGCACGCTGCCGCACATAGGGCTTGCGAAGGGGAGCCTCGGGGAGGGGGGATTTGGCCGCGTCCCTGATTTGGCCGGCCAGGAGAGCGTAGTGGGCGTCGACGTCTACCCCCCAGGGGACCAACGGAATGTCCAGGAGCAGCTCAACAAACTTAGCTTGCTTGACGGGGTCCAAAATCGCATGCCTATCCAACCTAGGGGCAACGCCAGGCACGAACCAAGATGACCACTGCAGGTCAACGAAAACAAGCCAATTCAACCAGGAAGTCACAGCCATGCCAAACGCCATGGCCCTTGGCGCACTGGGTGAACCTGGGGGCGGCCAGGACCTAGTCCAGACGGTGTGCGTGTGGGGGGGGGGGGGGGGCGTTGTGAACAGTCCAGGCGTAACAATCGGTGCTGCCGGGGAAAAGGCCGCGGGGGCATCAAGACCAGACCAGGTCATGTTGTCCATCAGGAGGGAACCTCCTTTGACCATATCCTAAGGAAAACCTTGGGCGCCAACTCCGATACCCGCAACCAGCTGACAGCCAACTCTGGCTCTGGCGTCCACAAAAACAAAGTCCGGTTCCCACTTAGAGGCGAGGGCAAGAGTTTCCCCCCACCAGGCGGTCCTGACATCCATATCGCCGT